ATTGACTTGTGACGATTGTTGTTTTTGTAGAACAGTTTTCGTAGTTTTTGCGGGTGACATATTAACATGTGTACTAATATTCATATGTATGTAGGTTGGTTTGTGTATGCATTATTTGTTCGGCAATATATATTATATTGTAAAGGATTCTTCGATAAATCGTCTAACTATAACTCACTCTTGAGCTCGATCACTGGATTGTTAAATTAAAGTCCCAATTTAATGCTATACACTTATCTTTATTTCCAATGCCAACAACTTAACACTGCTCGCAATTCAAACTTATAACTTATTGCTTATAGCTTAATTGCTCTTTACACGGCAACACTCGAATTAGAACTGTGTGCACAATCCGGCAGCCCTTATATAGTAAATTTTTAACAAAAGTTCGCTACAAGAACATTCTGGCAACTACGAATTCGCTGTCTAGTTGCTTCTGGCAGTTTATCGATAACTCTGATTTGTTCTGGTACTCGTGTTCGCCACAATATGTTGACACATAAATCAATGCGCGCACATATAGTGTATTGATATACATATTCAGATATATGTACATATGAATATATACTTTTAAGATTAATATGAAGAAGATGTATGTATACGTTTTAATAAATTTAATCACCATTAGTAAAAATTATCATACAAAATATTTATTGGGAATGCATATTATGTAAATATAATATTATTAAATGCCCAAACTGACTATAAATATTATTTTGAAAATTACATAATTTAATAGAGTGCTATCAATTTTGCAGGCATTCATAAAAACATTCGCATAATGAAATTCATATCAATGAATATTATTGCATATAAACGTATAAAAATATAAGCCAAAAGGCTAACATTCGACTCTAATATCAATGCAAACTTCTGAGCATAATTTACATTCAAAGTCAGCTCTGTTTACACGCCACTGTTAAAATGGACATAAACATGATTTAGGGCGCAATTACGCAGAAGTCAGTGCAAATGTCCCAGATATCAACAGAGGTGTCAATATCGACACAATTTAAAGAGCAGGTTGCACGTAAAACCCAACAAATAGCAGAGGTTTCATCACAAATTTTTGTCGACACAGTTGGAATAGCAGTACGTAGCGCGAGATGCACGTATATCATCAAAGGTGACCTCAAAAAAAGCAAAAGTGTCCTCACAGATTTGGGAAGAGCGAGATGAAATTAAAACTGAAGTGCATAAATTGAAAGATCATCTCCGCGAGCTACAATTAAATCGGCCAATTACGTCAATAGCTTCTGCCAAGGCAAAACCTCCATCCTTTCATGACACAGTTCCGTTTCATGTTTTTAAGCTTTAATTCGAAAAGACGGCATCTGCAAATAATTGGAACGTTGAAGATAAAGTTGTTTGTTGCATTAAAAGAATCTGCAGCGGAGATATTACAGACCATTCCATGGGTGTATTAGAAAGACGGTATGGTAGTGAGCACAGGAAGCAGATATTTCAAATCGAGTTGCGAAATCTCCGCCAAAAAGCCAAAGAGTCTCTGCAGGAGTTTTCAGCAGAGATTGAGAGTTAGCTCACTTAACTTATGCACATAAATCCGTGGAATAAATCGAGGACATAAAAATTCATGTTCGAAACTGACGTTTGCGAAACTGTTTCGTATGCTTTGATACAGGAAACTGCATCTCTGCTTAACAATCAGCATTTAAAGCTCATAAAGTAGAAATAGAAGAACACACTTGGGTAAACCAATTATTTGAAAAAAATTGAGCACTTTAGAAAAATCTACAGAAGTGCGTAAGAAAAATTACGGTTCGGTTAAATGTTTCAACTGCGGAAAAAGTGGTCATATTGCACGCAACTGTAACCAGTCCAATAATCTAGTTGGATGTAAACACAAAGCTGCGGAAGATCAAGCAAGTGTCAATTTTAACCAATCATTAAACTAAAGCGAGCCAGCCGAAAAGGGTACGGGCTGGCTCCCGCAAGCAAAAGCCCTGTAATCTCCATTTCGCAAAAAAGTAGGAATACAAGTAACATCACATTCCATAATTCGATCTGATCTGGTTGATAAAGAACTGATACCATTACCTGGGGCAAATTTGGGTACCGCAACTGGAGAAGATAATCAAGTTCCCGGAAAAGTAACGTGCGAAATCGTAAATGGAATGGCAGCTGTGTTACACAATTTTATAGTTGCAGATATCGTCGACGAAGTCATAATTGGAGTAGATTTTCTAGCGAATCAAGGAATCAAAATCGATATGAAAGTAGGATTATGACCTATACAAATATGGAAGTGCCACTTATGTTCGGTTACGATAATAAATACAACGATAGACGAGTGATAATAACAGAGAGCCAGCACATTCCACCAAAATCAGAAGCAGGTATTTGTGTGGTGTATTGTTCAGGCCACAAAACAATCTACACCAAACTTACTTATAGGCAAACCCCTAGCTATGGCAAGACAAGATAAACGTGTTCCAGTAAGAGTACTTAATGAGTGCAAGTTGCCAATCAAACTATCCAAAGGAGCTATATTAGGGCAGTGTCAAGGGATTGATTGAGTCCAAAAAAGTTTTCCATTTTTAAAAAGGAAGTAAGCTACTTAGGACACAAAGTGACAACAGAGGGTATTTGCACAGCTAATGAAAAGATAGAGGCAGTAAAAGATTCGCCATTTTCTAAAAATTTACATGAATTGTGGAGTTTCCTTAGACATTATACTTATTATAGACGATTCGTTTCAAATTTTTCCAGCGTAGCTAGTAGCCTCCATTAACTCACGAAAAAGAACAAGAAGTGGCTTTCCAAACTCTGAAGAAACGATTAAGTATATGTTCGCATACCCGGTCCCAGGATCAGCGTTTATTTTGGATACGGATGCTAGTGGATTTGCAGGAGGAGGCGTTCTATCACAAGTCATTGATGGGCATGAGAAAGTGGTTGCGTATTACAGCCAAACCATAAGCAAGCCAGAGTGAAATGGCTTCTACAATTCAGGAACCCAGAAAGACAGTTGACACGGTGGATTGAGAGACTCCAAAGTTACGACTGCGCTATAGAACATCGAAAAGGTAGTAGTCATGGAAATGCTGATGTCATGTCCCGCCGTCCATGTAATTTCGAATGCAGACATCGTTCGAAAGCTGAGGCCAAAGAAGACATTATATATGTCTGATTAATGACTATAACATCAGACTGGGTTCCGGAGGAGCTACTTAAATGTCAGCAAGAAAATCCATATTTGAATAGTGTAATTCATGGATTGGGGATGAATAAACGTCCAATGAGAGAAGAAATAGGTGCAGAAAGTCCAGTCGCAAAGTAGTGGGCACAATGGAATAGTGTGAAGTTAGTGTCTGGCTTCATGTATCGCGTATGGGAAAGCGAAAATGGGCAAAGCTCCCGAGCTCCGATAACTGTTCCAAAATTAAGAATTCCCGAAGTTCTCAACGAGCTGCACAACAGTTCAATTGGATGACACATGGGTATCACTAAAATTTTGGAGAAGTTAAAACAAAGATTTTATTGGGTTGGTTGTCGTCAATCAGTAACAGAGTGGATCGCCAATTGTGTCGAGTGCATTGCTGCTAAAGGGCCGCGGTCCAGGAGTCATGGTCAGATGAAGCAGTACAATTGAGGTGCGCCGTTTGTTTCCTAACCAACAGAAAGATCATTTGAGGACAGTTGTGGACAAGTATCAAAAAGATTTGGATACCCACATATCATAGTTCTTGATGGCTTCTCGGTCTGCTATACATGAAACAACGGGGCAGACTCCAGCAAGGGTAATTTTTGGTAATAATCTTCGACTGCCGATTGATTTAAAATTTGGAATTAACGCCAACGAAAGAAGAAATGCTAAGGCATTCAACAGCATCCTAGAAAATGAAATGAGCGATATATAAGGTTGTCAAATATCTCCTGTCCGAATTCTTCGCAAATAAGGAGGGGGGCTTCTACGAGGAAGGTATTATGAAGTTGCCGTCTAGATGGAAACAGATCATCGAACAAAACGGCACATATTTTAACTAAATCCGATCACTGTAACACTTTTTATAAAGCATTGAATGAAGAGCAAAAAAGCGGAAGGGAGATATTTGACAACCTTATACATGCTATGGTGAGACAGCGCACCAAAATTATGAGCGATAAAATGAAAGCAAAATACGGCAAGGCAATGTACTCCGAAAAAACGTTTAATAAAGCGCCGCTAGGACTCTATACGTTGCGTATGGGTTTCGTCCTCTGCAACAAACGAATTATCTGGGTCGCTATGATTTACGTGTCGGTGCTCAAACTCGAGACTGGATAATGGTATGAGCACCTCATGCTTTCGGGACACTCTTCCAGCCGAAGGTCGTCACTCCCATCCTCTGCCGTTCCTAGGGCCCAGTGGCCTTCCACTATCTGCCCTAAAATAAGAAACGATAAAATAGTTACGTATGAAAAATAAACAGTAATGTATTTATTATTACCTTTGTTGTATTAAGGTTTCCCGAACTTATTTTCTTCTATATGAACAATTTGACCAGGGCCGCCAATTTTACCTACCGGTACCTGATTATCAACCTGGTATAATAGTAGCGCTGCCTAAAATTGGATATCTGATAAAACTATTTTTTCGGACCTCCGCATGCGGTCAATGTGATGCATATGCATACATTAAATTGAATACATGAGGCAATGATATTTTGTTGTTCTCAAACCATGTACCGTTCGACCCATCGAAAAACGCCAACCGTGCTTTTATCGCATATCAACAGCGTCAAAATAAAATGAATTTTTCGCGAGTGTCAAATTTTGTAATATTTTATCAATATTGCACATTTATTTCCAACACTGTAAGGACATTCGTACATCTCACCACACCACGGTTTGGCGGTTTGTTAAAATCTATTCAAGAGTCTTAAGTAATACTTTTAACAACTTTAAATTTATAATAACATACCTGATGAACTTGCAGACATTTTTTCAAAAATAACAACGATTTGAATAAGTCAGAATAAAAATATATGTGCTTATAACGAAAATTGTGTTAAAAAATAAAGTTTATTAAAACCAAATATTAAAATAATTGATATAAAATTAATGTTTAGAACTATGTAGTAAAGTGTTGGTGAATAATGAGTGCATAATATAAAAGAAAAATTTAACTATAATTCGAGTGATTGCGAGATAAAATTTGTACAGTTTTTAACATATATGCTAAATTCTCAAAAATTAGTTGGCTATTATATATATTCGTGAAGTCGTGGGCTGGCATACTAAAGCCGACCGAAAATGTCTATGTATTTGCATAAGTTAGTTCCATCATTATGCACCTTTGCATCCCACCAACAAAATTGCGCTGTCTGAACAGGTCTAAGCTATTATGATATGATATATTATTCACTATCGAAAGGATATGTTGTTTGAATGTAGTTCCGATTTTTACGAAGGTCTATATTACAGAATACATTTGTTTATTGGAGTTATAAGTGCATTAGTTAAAAAAAAGAAATTATTAAAATGGAAACAGCTGAATCTGAAAGACAGAAAGAAGGGAAGTGTACTGAATTTGTAATAAATGGTGCCGAAGTTAATCAAAATAATGGTAAATAAGTATATATTACCATAGAAACTTTTGTTTATTTGTTTTTCAATCATGTACATATGTATAGGAAATTTTAGAAAATCGTCTACGAATTACGGATCTACCATCCCTAGAACCCTGTGACCTTCCACTCTCCGTCCTAAAAAAGAAAAAATTAATTAATTAAGTATAAAAATAAATAATAATGTATTTATTATTACCTTTGTTATATTTTCGTTTCCCGAATTTGCTGTCGTCTATTTGAACAATTTTACCAGGGCCGCCAATTTTACCTACCGCTACCTGGTGATCAACCTGGTATAAAACTACCGTTTCGCGGCAGTAATTGTACCAGTCACATATGGTAGCGCTGGATAAAATTGGCTCCTTAATAAAACTGTTCTTTCGCACCTGCGAATGGGGCCAATGCGATGCAAATGCATACATTATATAAAAAATTTGAGGCAGTGGTATTTTTGCGTTTTCAAACCATGTCCCACTCGACCTCGTCACCGCAGTCCATTTACGGCAGGCACCTTGCCGGCATCGGAATATGCCAACCGTACTCCTATCAGATAAGGATACCAACACAGGTATCCTATGGGTACGGCTTAATTTGCTTTTTAAAATTACCCTTCTCCTCTGCAAACGATATACATTTCTCACTAGTGTCGAAATTTTGGATTATTTTAGGGAAATTCCACATATCCTTGATTTCGGACACTGTGAGAACATTGGTTTTTTTTACCACACCACGGCTGGTTGACGGTTCGTTACAATCTATTTAAAATTCTTAAGTAATATTTGTTATAATTTTAATTTCTAATAACATACCTAGTGTATTTCCACTCATTTTCTCAAAAATTATCACGATTTAAATAAATATGTAAAAAATATAAACACTTGCGGAATGATTTATACGCACAATATTCACCAATTCAATTTGAATATGAAAATGAGAAAACGGACAAAAAAAGAAACGGTACCTTATTTAGTTGTAGAAAATTCCGTTTTAGAAATTGAAGTTTAAAGAGAGTGATATACCCTCCTTAACATTAATTTTTTTTGTTCAGATTTCCTGTTTCCACTGGCGGCCTTGGGCCGCGCTTCAAAAAAAATAACCCTGGTCGGTCCAACACCGGGGTGTGCATAATTCAGTCGCACAAACTTCTTTCCGCACTGGCGGCCTTCGGTCGCGCTTCAAAAAAATAACCCTGGTCGGCCCAAAACCGGAGTGTTCATAATTCAATCGCGTCAAACTTCTTTCCGCATTGGCGGCCTTCGGCCGCGCTTCAAAAAAAATAACCCTGGACGGTCCAATACCATAATTTATCAAACGAAGAGAATTAACAAAATTATAGTTCATGTATTTGGGGTATAATCCTTTTTTATTATTCATTTTTATTCGCTTTCAAAATATAAATATATATATATATATATATATATAATAGATATGGCAACACTGATTATCTGACAACATGGAACCCATTTGTTATTGTGCATATAACCAAAATTGTGTAAAAATAAAATGCTTATTTAAAGCAAATATTTAAATAATTAACATAAAATAAATATGTAGAAACATTGTAGTGAAGTGTTAGTGTATAATAAGTGCATAATATAAAAGAAAAGTTAACCATAAATCAAGAAATTTTGAAATAAAATTTGTGAAATTTTCAACTTAAAATGCAAATATCTCGAAAACTATAAGTTTCCGGCGGCAATAATTATATATATTCGTGATCTGGAGAATCTTCTCTATCCAACCATACCCCTTTTAACCCTGAAAATGTGGGATGCTAAACTAAATCCCACCCGAAAATTGTGTAAAAATAAGGAAAAACTTTAGTATACCGTCCTAGGTTTTCGGGGATAAAATGGGGGTCGGCTTTAGAATAACGTCCCAGGCTCTCGGGGATGAAATGGGTATGGGCGGAGAGAGGAGATCCTCCAGATCAAGAATATAGTGGATATAAAAGTGGAAAATATAAGTGTATAATTCATTTGAAATCGAAAAAATGCGTACTTTAAATAGTCGACATTTTGAACTTTAAACCCAAATATCTCGAAAACTATAGGACTCAATCTGGAGGACCTCCTCTATCCGCCCATATTCATTTTATCACCGGATTCGGAGAATGAACAACAGAAGTCTAAAATTCATTATATATATTTCGAAAAGTTATACCCTTTTAACATTTCAATTTTTTAACATCACATACTATAAGTTTCTTAAATACTATAAGTTTCCCGGGCTATTGCAATATATATCTTCGGGTCGGCTTTAGTATGCTATCCCACGATTTCAGGGTTAAAAGGGGTATGGTTGGATAGAGAAAATTCTCAGATAAAGAATATAACCGCCGTAAACTTATAGTTTTCGAGATATTTGCATTTTAAGTTGAAAATTGTACAAATTTTATCTTACAATTTCTCGATTTAACTTTTCTTTGATATTATGCACTTATTATACACTAACACTTCACCACAATGTTTTTACATATTTATTTTAGGGAAAACTTCAGTAAGGCTGCCAATGCAGAAAGAAATAAGACGCGAAAGGGATAACGCCCACCCCGATGTTGGATCGTCCAGGGTTATTTATTCGAATTGGGACCTTTGGCCGCGCTTCAGAAAAATAACACTGGCCAATCCAATACGGTTTATCAAGAGAAGGGAACGATTAAAATTATGGTTCATGTATTTGGGGTATAATCCTCTATTATTCATTTTAATTCATTTGCAAAATATAAATATATATATATATGATAGCTATGGCACACTTATTATCTGTCAATAGGGAACCCATTTGTTATTGTGCATACAACAAAAATTGTGTAAAAATAAAATGCTTATTTAAAGCAAATATTAAAATAATTAATATAAAATAAATATGTGGGAACATTCAAGTGAAGTATAAATGTGTAATAAGTGCATAATATAAAAGAAAAATAAACTATAAATAGAGAAACTGTTAGATAAAATTTGTGAAATTTTCAAATTAAAATGCAAATATCTCGAAAACTATAAGTTTTCGGCTGCTATAATCATATATATTCCTTATCTGGAGAATCTCCTCTATTCAACCATACCCTTTTAACCCTGAAATCGTAGAATGGTATACTAAACCCGACCCAATTATTTTTATATTTGCTTTGAATAAGCATTTTATTTTTGGGTCGGCCTTAGTATACCGTCCCAGGTTTTCGGCGAGGAAATGGGTATGGGCGGATAGAGATCCTCAGATAAGTATATATATACACCAGCGAAACTTATAGTTTTCGAGATATTATTAAAGTTGAAAATTTCAACTATAAAATATGTCTTTTGCGTTTAAAATAATTATACACTTATATTTTTCACTTTTATATCCACTAACACTTGACTAATTCGTTTTTAGAAATTTTTTTTATATTAGATTCTGCATAAATAGCTTTATTTCAATATTTAAATCATTCTTCAATTTTATTTATTTTAACAATAACAAAATGGTTGTCAATGTCAAAACACCAGTGTTGCCATACTAATACTTATATTTTGTACACGAAGAAAAATAAAATAAACAGAGAGATTATACCCTAAATACAGGAAACAACGCAAAAAGAATTTCTGCGCGTATAAACCTTGGTACATCCCCCTGTTGGAGCGCCCAGGGTTATTTTTTTTTGAAGCGCGGCCGAAGGCCAACGCAAAAAGAAGTTCTGCGCAAAAACCTTGATACAGCCCGGTGTTGGATCGACCAGGTTACTTTATTGAAGCGCGGCCGAAGGCCGCCAATGCAAAACGGAGTTCTAGTCGAAAAGACCTTGTTACATCCCGGTGTTGGACCGACCAGGGTTATTTTTTTTTTTGAAGCGCGGCCGAAGGCCGCCAATGTAAAACGGAGTTTTAGTCGAAAAGACCTTGTTACATCCCGGTGTTGGACCGACCAGGGTTATTTTTGAAGCGCGGAGAAAACGCAAAAATTCTACAAGAAAAAGTATTATCTGTTTTAATTACTTTCAGTTCAATTACAAAAGATGTCGATAAGGTAACACTGGTTATTTGACATTTTGCAACCCTTTTGTTATTGTCAGAATTAATACAATTTAACAACAATTTAAATATTGAGTTACCTATTTTTGCACAATATAGTGTAGAATAAATGTGTACAAACAGATTAGTGAAGTGTTAGCGGATATAAAAGTGAAAATATAAGTGTATAATTCACTTTAAATCCAAAAATTCGAGCTTTAAATAGTTGAAATTTTCAACTTTAAACGTAAATATCTCGAAAACTATACCCGGCTATATATCTATATATTCTTGATCTGGAGGATTTCCTCTATCGCCCATAACTTTTATCCCCAGGAGCTAGGATGATATCAAGTTTTCCCTAAATAAATATATAAAAACATTGTGGTGAAGTGTTAGTGTATAATAAGGGAATAATATCAAAGAAAAGTTAAATCGAGAAATTGTAAGATAAAATTTGTACAATTTTCAACTTAAAATGCAAATATCTCGAAAACTATAAGTTTACGGCGGTTATATTCTTTATCTGAGAATTTTCTCTATCCAACCATACCCCTTTTAACCCTGAAATCGTGGGATAGTATACTAAAGCCGACCCGAAGATATATATTGCAATAGCCCGGGAAACTTATAGTATTTAAGAAACTTATAGTATGTGATGTTAAAAAATTGAAATGTTAAAAGGGTATAACTTTTCGAAATATATATTTAATGGTTGCGTTGATAATGTTTGAAGCGGGCGGTCCTGCTGCTGGCACGTCTTGTCAGTTTGGCGTCCGTGAGAAGAAGGGAAGAATTGCAGGATGAAGGAGAATGGGGTTTATGACTTTAATATAAAATTGTATAAAGGTTGCCGTCGTCGGTAGTGTTGTGCGTTTTGACGGTCGCAACATAACATAGTTGTAGCCTGTCGGTAGTGTATGATGTTGCCACAGTATCCCCTTCAGACTGGGCGATCGCTTATGATCAAAGTAAAATCCTCGTACGGAGGTATCTGGTTTTAATCG